AACAACCTGTGATATACAGATGATTCAACTTTGCTTGCTGAAGGCCAAGAGTTCATAAAATGCTTACTGATGAAGATCAAAGACCACGATCTTCAGTATGGATTGTACCCCAATGTAAAGAAAACAAAAATCCTTACAACTGGAAGTATAACATCATGATAAATAAAAGACTGAGGGCTGTGTAAGACTTATTTTTCTTGGAGTCTCTAATCAACACTCATGGAAGCAGTATTATCATGGAAGCAGTATTCGAGAAGTCAAGCGACGTATTGCATTAATTAGGTAAAGTTGCACAAGACCTCTTTGAAGTGTTCAAGACCAAAGCCATCAATTTGAGGACTAAGGTGCATCTGACCTAAGCCATGGTATTTTCTGTTGCCTTGTATGTATGTAAAAGCCGGACAATGAATAAGGAAGACCGTAGAAGAATTGATGCATTTGAGTTATGGTGTTGGAGAAGAAGATTAAAAGTACCATGGACTGCCAGAAGAGCAAACAAATCTGTATTGGAGGAAGTACTGCCAAGAATGCCCCTTAGAAGCCAGGATGGCTAGACTTCATGTCTCATGCTTCGGATATTTTATCTGGAGAAGGACATTATGCTTGGTAAAGTTGAGGGCCAGTGAAAAAAAGGAAGACCTTCAACAATATAAATTGACACAGTGGCAGCAGCAATGAACTTGGCATAACAACAGTTGTGAGGGTGGTACACGACTGTGCCGTGTTTCATTCTGTTGTGCATAGGGTTGCTATGAGTCAAAGCTGACTCGACGGCACCTAACAACAACTTCTTGCTCTGAGCAAGGAATGAAAACAGTAGAGAAATCTTAAGACCAAGTGAAAAATCTTCAACTATAAACTGGTGGCAATATCGTATCAAGAGACATGCTTATTTGCTGAGATCTAATTATTTATGTGGCATGTTAGTTAAAATTGTGACTATCATTTTTGTTAGGTGAGTAATTTCATTAGCGGCATCTCTGACTGCTGTATTTATAGTTCATTTAGGTTTCATTTAGGCAAGTATTCCTTACATCATGGTTGTTGTTAAATGCCGTTGAATTGGTTCTGACTATATAGGGTTTCCAAGGAGCAGCTGGTGGATTTGAACTGCCCACCTTGTGGTTCAAGCCAGCCTTACAGTCCAATGCATTAATCCACAGCACCATACCAGAACTCCACAGGAAAGGACTAGATCTTCCTATTTTCTCCAACATAAACTGTAAAATCTTGCAACTAATAATGATGACGATAGTAATAGTAGCAATACTAACATAAAAATAGATCGTTTAATCTTTATTCTTTGAGGTTGTTAAGTGTTGTCAAGTCTGTTCTGATTCATGATATCGTTGTATGGGATTTCCAAGACTGTAAATCTTTGCAGGAGCAGAAAACCTCATCTTTCTCCCAAAGAGTGACTTTTGGACTTAAGCCGCCGATCTTGTAGTTATCAATCCAGTGCTTATCTCATTGAGGCAGATATTATTAATTCCTTTTTCACTGAGAGAAAATTATAGATAAAGCACTGGACCGCAAGGTCATTCGAACCACAAGGTCAGCAGTTCAAACTCTCCAGCTGCTCCTTGGAAACACTATACAGGGTTGCTATGAATCGAAACCAACTCATTGGCACTTAGCAACAACAACAAACCGTTAAAGTTTATAATTTGTACAGTTTGGGGTATGTATACAAGGTTGTGCAACCATTACCACTTCATAATTCCAGAACATTTTCATTGCCCTGAAAAAAACCCCTTTGCTTGTAGCAGTCACTATCCATTCCTTCCCCCTGTTCCCTATAAACCCCTGGCACCCACTAATCAGCTTTCTTCGTCTGTTGATTCTCCACTACTAGACGTTTTATCGGCGTCCTGGTGTGGTGCTGTGGGTTAATGTGCCAGACTGCAATGCCGTTTGAACTGCAATGTTGGTGGTTCAAGCTCACCAGCTGATCCTCGGAAACCCTATACAGGGTTGCTATGAGTCGGAACCGACTCGACGGCACTTCACAACAAACAAGAAGACATTTTATATGAATGGAACCGTACAACTTGTGGCCTTTTGTATCTGACTTCTCTTACAGAACATAATGCTTTTAAGGTTCATCTGCATTGTAGCATGTATTAATACTCCAGTTCCTTTTGTTTGTTGTTGTTAAGTGCCATTGAGTTGGTTCCGACTCATAACGATCCTGTATAGGGTTTCCAAAGAGAAGCTGATGGGTTTGAACTGTCCTCTTTGTGGTTCACAGCCCAGTGCTGATCCTACAGAGAACCACAGCAGAAAGATAGTCAAATAATATTTCATTGTATTCATTTTGTTTATCCATTGATGGACATTTGGGTTGTTTCCACTCATTGTCTATTATGAATAATGCTGCTATGAACATTTGTGTACAGGTTTTTGTATGGATATATATTTTCATTTCTAGAAATGAAATTATATGGTGTAGCATTGTAGGGTAAGCATGGGACCACAAGGTCGGTTCGAACAGCAAACACAGTGTCAGTGGTTCAAACTCACCAGCCACTCCTTGGAAACCCTACATAGGGTGGCTGTGAGTCAGAACTGACTCAATGGCTCTTATCAACAGCACCATTGTAACTCTATATTTGACTTTTGGAAGAATTTACTAATTCCATTTTTAGTAGACTTTTTATTTTGGAGTGATCTTAGATTTACAGTGAAGTTGCAAAGATACAGAGTTTCTGTGTACCTACCAAGGAGCTCTGGTAGCGTAGTGGTTACGAATCGGGCTGCGAACCTTGAGGTCAGCGGTTCGAAACTACCAGCCACTCCGCGGGAGAAAGATGAGGCTTTCTACTCCCGTAAAGATTTACACCTTTGGAAACCCTGTACAGGGTCGCTATG